TCTCTCTCTCTCTCTCTCTCTCTCTCTCTCTCTCTCTCTCTCTCTCTCTCTCTTGCTCTCTCCCCTCTACCTCCTAGTACACAAAATCGTGTTCAACGGTGGCAGACACATCCTGATTACTAATTTATGAAGACTGCGGACTACTTTCTTGGAGCGTTGTGACGTTGTGACACCAAATCCCATATTCCAATTGAACGAAGATCCAAGATGGACGCGTTGATACTGGCTGATACGGAGCCCAGGCTTTACTCAAAACGTTAAACGATACCGTGAACAATGACTAACAAAATTATTTGGAAGACTGTTTTAAATAATTCGTCCTCAGTCCACCGTCAACAACCAATTTTTGATCAGTAAAATTGTTTATCAGTGATAACAAAGGTACTTAAGTTCCGATTCTCGAAGGAGTAACATCTTTGGCTGTATAGTCAAAGAGACTTTAAAAGACCTTTGGCTATTATAGTCAAAGAGACTACAATAGTTAAAGGGTAGAAAAGAGATTACAGTCTCTTTGGTTACACCTTTGGCTATTATAGTCAAAGAGACTTTAATAGACCTTTGGCTATTATACTCGAATAGACTATATGTATATAATAGTGACTATATAGCGACTATATATAATAGTGACTATACAGCGACTATATATAGCGACTATATATAATAGTGACTATACAGCGACTATATATAGTGACTATATAGCGACTATATATATATAGTGACTATATAGCGATTATATATATAGTGACTATATATAATAGTGACTATATAGTGACTGTACCCTTTGAATATACTCTTTGACTATTATAGTCCTTATCCTTCTATTTGACTATAATAATCAAAGAGTATATTCTCTTTGGTGCAGTTTCTGTGACTATAATTATTAAAGTGTAACATTATATAGCAAAATCCTTCATGCAACAGTTTTGACTATATATAATAAAAGAATAGCCCTTTTCATAGATGAAGATCTCTTCTGCGCATGTCTCGTGCGCAGGAGAGCTCTGGAACGTTGGCGCCAAAAATCAAATTAAATCTAACAGATGCATTTTTTTTTTTTTTTGTAGAATTGTATCTGAACCTGCGACGCCAATCAACCGCCTTAGATACGAAACAAGAACGAAATTAAAAACAAAAAACAAAAATCATTTTCTAGTCGAACACTTGTACAATACCATTAATTTACTTCAATGTACATAAATTCTTGTTACGCTTCGATAAAAATTCTCGATGTATCCTGAAAATTCGGGTGAACAAAGTGACGTAACCCCATAACTTCTTTCTCGAGTCGAGTCTAGGTTAGTCGATTAAAAGAAGCACGAATAAAAGGCAATTGATTAACGACCCAGGCACAGTTATAGCTCGAAGGAAATGCGCCTCGGAAACGGATGAAGGAGATTAAGTTGAATAATCGTTGAAGAGAGCTGCTTCGAACAACCTGGAATATCTACGAGAAAAATTCGCTAGCTGCGTGGTGGCCGGCTCGATGGGCGCGAGCAGTATGATCAATCAGTAGCCCGTAGCTATACTTAGGAGGAAATCGTCTGGTATTTACAGTTAGGCGATTGCTCTAGCGATCAGACGTCGCTTTCGCTCCTTGTCCTCAAAGAATTCCGGATTTTCGGTCGGATTCCATCGCAACATTTGTGAAACGTTGCATGCCTATTCCAATTATTAAATTAAACTATTATAATTAACGGGTTACACTTTGCCCCCCCCCCCCCCCCCACCACCACCTTCCACAAAATCTCATGTTTTTTCAAGAATTTTGTATTAAAGCGATAACAATATTTTATCTAAATTGAAGTACATTAATGTATTATATGTATAATGGCATGTATTATATAAGTTTTTAACTAAAAAGTGATTGTTTTATTTTTATGATTTTTATAAAAATGGTGTATGGTGAAACGTTGCATGCCTATTCCAATTATTAAATTAAACTATTATAATTAAAGGGTTACACTTTGCTCCCTCCACCATCTCTCCTCAAATTTCACGTTTTTTCAAGAATTTTGTGTTAAAGCGATAACAATATTTGATCTAAATTGAAGTACATCAATGTTATTATATAAGTTTTTAGCTAGAAAATGATTGTTTTGTTTTTCTTATTTTTACAAAAATGGCGGACGATTTAGTGGAGCGTTTGCAAACTGGATGGTCGTGCGTTGGGTGCGATAAATGAAACCAGGTTCAAGTTGTAACAGTGAAACAATGATTAGTGTTCTTGCAAGTTCAAATAAAGCGAAATACTTGTCCGTTTTTAAAAAGTATACATTTTTAATAAAATG